TGCCTTTCAGAGCCATCCCAGCCCAGCGGTGGCTAAGGGCAGCTGGACTGCCCCTGGGTGATGCCCACGCTGTGCTCGCCCCAGCACGGCAGCACCAAGCACCCTAATAACCTTCAACCCCCGACACAGGGTGCTCGGGCTTCAAAAGCACCCGTGAACCAGGTGGCTTTTAGCAAAGGCACCCCCAAACACGGAGGAGGAAGGACCCTGCTGCAACGCAGGTGGGACTCAAGCACATAGTGCTCAGAAAAAGGATGTTGGCTTGTGGACTTTGCTCAATAGTAGTATTATATCTGAAGTTATGCAAATAAAAAGCCACTTTTAAAGCATGAGTAAGCTGGGCAAACACAAATAAGTGCGCAGGGATGGCGTGGTGTGACATGTCCAACCCGCCCCTCCTCCACGGGGTGGTCCCAGCATCATCCCTGCAGCCCTACGGGCATGGCTGTGCCCCGTCCCTCTGGGCACTCACTTCTCATCGCTGCGGAAGAACATGTTGCCCAGGGCTAGCGAGTCCAGGATGAGGAACCCAAAACCTGGGAACTGGCGGTAGATCTGCCAGGGAGAGAGTTGTGGGGGTTACTAAGTCGTGGCTTTGATTACTGCACCCTCCCCTTGCTGGGGGGAAGCCCTGGGTGTCCGGGGCTGCCACTGCCAGGGGACCCTGTGAGCAGAACCTCCCACCCATCACCGCTGGAGGACCCCATGGACAAAGCCCCCCCCATCACCACTGGGGGACCCTGTGGGCAGAGCCCCCGAGCTCACCTTGGTGAGGGGGATGTGGGCGGCCGCCTCGCGGATGTTGGTGTAGGGCGACTCCAGGACCACAGCATCAACCTGGACCCCTGAGGGCAGAGCGGGGTGAGAGCAGGCATGGCTGAGGGGGGATCATCACCCCATCCTGGGCTGCTGCCACGCTCCCGTCCATGAGGCCAAAATGCCCCCCGTCCCGCTAAGGAGGATGGGGACAGCCACTTGTCGCCGCTGCAGGGACCAAGCCTGACGCTTGAGGAGAGAGTGATGGGGCTCCCCAGGTCCTCTACGGCCCCCAAAATCTGGCCAGAGGCACGTAGAGCCCCAGTGGGACGCCGTGTGGGGCCAACGCAGCCACGCTGGCCCTTACCTCGCTCCTCCTGCAGTTTCCTCGCCGCGTTCGTGGCAATCCTGTGAGAAGAGAGGTGACGGTGAGGGGGAGCAGCCACGATGCCCCGGCAGGGTGCACAGCACCCTCAGCCCCCTCCCTTGCCTTTTTTGGGTTTTGCTTTGCAGGTGCCTCCACCAAGGAGCTGCTCCAACCCCTTGGTCCATCCCTGGGTGGCACCGGTCTGGGCTCCAGCGTCATGGGGCATCCCCCGGCCCCGCACCTACCCTGTCCCCAAGGAGTGTCCCCAGAAGAGGATGCTGCTGTTCCCACTCCGTGCTTTGGCCCAGTCGTAGAGCGCCAGGACATCTGTGGTGAAGCCGCTCTCCGTGGGGTACCCACTGGAGTCCCCATAACCTGCGGGGGACATGGCTCGATGTCACAGCCCCAGAGGAGGGGACACACACCAGCTCCAGGGGAGGTCAGGGGGGGTGATTTTACCTCTGTAGTCAAGAGCCAGGATGTGGAAGTCAGCAGCCCCCATCGTCTGTCAGAGGAGCGGCACCGCGTTATGTCCTGGGGTGGGGGTGGGGGATGCACCCCCAGGTCCCCCAGCGTGGCCGGGCTCACTCTGCCCAGGGTCCCTCTCGGGTCCCCAGAGCCAGCGTGAGCCTTACCCCCGGCAGTTCCCCCACCGCAGGGGACCACTTACCTTCAAGAACTGGACTCGGTGTCTCGCAGCCCTGATGGGGAAAGCGAGGTTAGAGATCAGGAAGGGACCCTCCCCTCCGGCACCAGTCCAGTCGAGGGACCAGGGCGATGTTCTCCCAGGAGGCGAGAGCTGGATGCTCTGGGCCTGGCAGGTTTGTGACGTTTCCCTTTAACTCAAAGGGACTTTCCTTGACTCATGGGGTCAGAAACCACCAAACCACCGCAGCAGCCCCGGCCCCGCAGCACCGCTGGCTGCTGCACCGAATTTGCTCGTTCTCATCCCACGCTGTGCGAGAGCAGCCGCCGCCCCCATCCTCCCCGGCGAGAGGGACGGGTGCGCTCGCGGGTACTCGCCTGGTCCCCCCGTTGCCGTGCAGGTAGATGATCACGGGGTGAGCGTCAGCAAGCACCTCCTCGTACCAGCGCTGGTCCTTGCCCTCTGCCTCGGCCCCTCTGCTGCCCGGCACCGTGTGCCTGGAGGGGGGAGCAGAGCGGGGTTACCCCAGGGGGGGCTCCACCCGGTTTAGCCAGGACACTGGCTGTGCCCACCCGGGATGCCGGCACTGCCCCGCTCACCAGATACCGACGGTGACACCCGGCTCGGTGGTGAGGTACAGGCTGATGGTGTTGTTCAACAGCAGCTCCGGCCGCCGCAGGTCAACGAAGAAGGGGAAGGCCACTGATGGAGAAAGCACGGACAACCCAGGAACCTTCATACCCAGCTGCTTTCACGCATTTTTAATTTTTTCCAAAGCAACATGTTATTGTTTTTAAATTATTTACCCAGAAGCCAAGAGCCGTGCTACAGCCAGCTCGGGGAGTGGGTAGGCGAGCACAGCCCTCTGCCATCTCCTCCCACCCGCATGTCTAGCCCCGTTGATGCTCTGCGTGCCCAGATGTGTTGCAACCCCAGGCAGTAAACAGGGCCAGTGGCACCACGTTATTACAGCTTGCAAAACACGAGGTGTTGAGGAGCCCTCCGTGCCTCCTCTGCAAGCCCACGGCATGGACGGGTGCTGTCCCAGTGCCACCCAGGCGCTGAGTGCAGGTGACACCCCACCCCACCCCCCAGCCCCCTGCCTGCTGCATCCCTTCGTGGGGGGGCTCTCCCACAGCCCAAAGGCACTCACAGAAGTTCAGGAAGACGAATTTGGTGAGCAGGACTGGGAAGAGGCGGATGAGGAAGGGCACGGAGATGTAGATGAGGAGCAGGTGCAGGAGGAGGGTGCGCAGCCAGGAGCGCCAGGCCAGCCGGCTCCTGCAAGGCAGACACCCCGTTAGCACGTGTCCCCCCACCCCGAGGGCTTTGGGGCACAGCAAAGTGGGGTCCCCATTCCCAAACCCAGTCGTGACGGTTGGATACAGCGGCTTTTCCCCCCACCCCGAAAGGGCCTGAGGCTGCTGTTTGTGTCCCCCTGGGACTGGGAACTGGTTTCCCCACCCTGGGGTTGTGTTTGGCTTTTGGGGATGGAGCGGAGGTGTCAGAACAGCCCCACCGTGACACAGCGTCATGAGAGGCCACGATCCGGTTCCCCACAGCCTCCCACGGGACGCCGGTGGGCAGGAAGGGCAGGGCATCTGCTAGGGCTGGGAGCTGCAAACCAAACCAGCAATAAGGAGCGACCGATACTCTCGTGGCAACACCCCCGAGCCGTGTCTGGTGAGACACGGTCGCAGAGGTGTCCCCAAGCACAGCACCAAGAGCCTCTGCAGTTCTCCAGGGAGGAGGAGGAGGAAAGCTGGGAAAGGGGCTCGGGGAGCCCACAGCACTGCAGGAGAAACCAGTCCCCAGAGCGTTGTTCCCCCACTGCCACCAGCACAGGGTGGGGAGCGTGACCAGCTCCGACAGCGTCCTGCCCTGAAAGGGCTGGGGGATGCACCCGGCCACCCCGACCTGTGCCCTCCGTGGTGAGCCACCGGCCAGTGCTGGCCTCTGAGAGGGAAAGGAAAGCCAAGAGCTGCAGCTTGCCCAGCATCAACATCTCACGGGGAGCACTGGGGAAATTTAGTCTGGGCATCGGGGGATTTAGGGCAGAGGTTTCTGACGGGCAGCCAAGCACCGCTCGCTCCCTGCCAGCACATGCCCGGGGTCACGGTCACTTCTGCAGAAGAGGATTTTAGTCTGCAAGAGGTTGAGAAAGGGTTGCAAAGGGGGTGCCAGGGCAAGGCGGCAGGGTCCCCCCCAGGCACAGGCACCCTTCCTGAGAGGATGCGGGGTGGCACGAGCCATGCCGGAGCCACGGGGAGCTCCTCGAGCCCCAGTTGCCCCCCTCGAGACTTTGGGCTGAGCTGTCCCACTGCATGCAAGGGGCCAGCAATGCCCTCGCAGTCGCTGCAGTTAATTACCGGGTGCTGCTCTTGGTCTGCACGTAACACCCAAGTGCAGGGGCGAGCGCTCACACCCACCCTTGCACAATACCTGCTGCAGGTGAGCACCCACAGGTCCGGGGGGGAGGGAATATGCCCATGAAGGGGCACCTCTGACAGCTGGCACGGCAACAGGCTTCATGGGGACGGCAAGGTGACATG